GACCAGTTCATCAGGGCACACATAAATAATTAGGAGTGCCCCAAGAGCATCCACAGAGGCTGAACTCCAGTCCTCCCTTCCTGGTCCCATGTCTTGTGGTGTAACCAGTGTTGACATATACCCAGTTAACTGCAGTGTAGCTGTCCCAATAGTTAAAACACAAACACACTTCCAGATAGTAATATATAATATATACACTATCCAGATGGTAATATATATATAATAGATACACTTCCAGATAGTAATATATATATAATATATATGTATATATTATATAAGTGGTTTCAACTATTTTAATCAAATGATGTGTTTAAGGTATGTATTTGTGCAAGTTAATGAATAAGTTCACTACACTAGACCTTAGTAGTTGGTCAGAATGTAAGCCAGCAAGTGACACTTGCAAATTCGGTGTGGGGTGCTATGTAAGTATAACTGGGTATTCTCTCTGTGATGCATTTTCTAGTAGATTAGGTCACTGGTTCTCAAAAGGGATGATTTTGTCCCCCAGAGTCATTTGGCAGTGTTTGGAGATACTGCTGGTTGTCACAACTGGAAGGAGGGGATGGCTTGGCTGCCAACATCTAGAGAGAGGCCAGGGATGCTGATCTGTGTTCTATGATGCACAAGATAGCCTTGCATCAAAGACTTATCACTCAAAATGTCAGTAGTGCCAAGGTTGAGATCCTTAGGTGTGAGAAAAAGTGAAGCAATTAATGTTTTCAAGAAAGAAATGGAAAAACCCATTGGATCACTTTGGTCAATAACAAATGTCTCCCTGCCGTTGCATTCTCCATGACACTGCAAAGGGAGGACGTCAGTCTTTGTTTTCTGTGATGTACAGCAACATCCAAAAACAGTGGAACTGCTTGACTGGACTGGATGACTCAGAAATGAAGACACCAGCTTTCATTTGATGTATCACACAGGAACACCAAAGGGACAGCTCTCTTTCATTACCTGTTGCAATTTTCAGCAGAGATGATTACTTTGGTAGATTTGCCTTATATGAAAGATGTGTTCCTGAAAAGTTGTATTTACTAAATCATATTTTAAATATAGTCAAGAAACTCAGTGAGCACTCAGGGGCCAATGAATCTTTTTAAAGTGAAAAAATAAAATCCTACTCTCAAAGAGAAACACACCCATATATTGCATTTTTTAATGTAAATATTTATTCTGAACTTTACATTTTTATTACAGGGCTCCATAAATTTTATGTAAGAGAACAATTTCCCTTTCTCCTTCCTTTTCCTTCCCTTATTCTTTTCCTTTAAAGAGAAAAGGGTAGGAGGGATTAACTATAGATTCTCTAAATTTGGAAAGGTAATTGATCACTCTATCCATACTACAGTTTAAAAGATACCTGCTGGGTTACAAATTGTTAGAAAATAGGACTTGGTTCTATTTTGAAATCATTAATTTTTTTTATCTCATGCTTTTTTTTTTTCAGTTACTGACCTTTGGCTAGAAAGAGCAGGTGCACTCAGTTCTTCCCTCACCCCATGGGTGTTTGTTGCACCAGAAATATCCGATAAGACTCAATCTCTTCACTCACTGGAGCCTGGTATCAGCAGAGATAAGGGAGTGGTACTGAAGGAACCCAGGTTTTTCCTCCTTATCAATCACTGCCCTGGGGCAACATCCCTAGGTGTATAAATCACTGACTAACCCAGCAGGGGAAAGGGGGCAGGAAGGAGGAAATTTATTTGATAAAGCTACCATTAGTGTCACTTTAGTGATAGAAGGTTACAGAGGTGTGACCAGTGGGGACAAAGCCATTGCCACTAGGAAGGAGCTGGCCTGGATGAGAGAGGCTCTAGAAGACATGGGTCTGATCTTTATCCTCACTGGAAGGAGGAGGGGACTGGGAAGAGGAAGATGCTAGAGGTGACCCTGCCTTTTCCAGGATAGCACCTGTGTCAAGGAGACAGGTGCCAGAGTCACCTGTGAGGGGCACTGTCATACTCTTTGCATAGTCCTTCCACTTACAAGTATGTTTCTCATGTTAGTCTCACAGCAACCCAGTAAGCAGTATTTTACAAATGAGAAAACCAAAGCACCAAGAACTTAAGTAATAACTTGCCCAAGGTCACTCAGCTACAAAGAAGGGTTTGTGATTTGGCACAGGTGTCCTGATTGGAAGCCCTGTGTTTCCCTATGCGATGGCACCTTGCTCTCACTAGGATGGCCAGGTCTCAGCCCAGCAGCATGGCGCTCGGTAAGAACCTTGGCTGGGCTGCCAGGAACCCCAGGTTCCAGTCATGACTCTGTCTCCAACTCACTGCGTCCCCGGTAGGCAATCGCTAGCCCTCTTGGAGTCTCTGTTTTCTCATCTAGGCAAGGAGGAGGTTGACTGAGTTGTCCTCAGGTCTCCATAGTGACATGACAGGCAGTCTGAGGGGCACCCTGGCTGCCTCCTTGCAGTTTGCTAAGCACTTCCCACCGTGGCCAGGAACTGTGAAAACACTGTATCCATCATGTTACCCGAGCCCGAAGCACCCACCCTAGGAGGTGGGTGCTATGTAGTCTCCATCTAGCTGATAAGGACACTGAAGCGCAGAAAACTCAACGATGACTTGACTTGCTTCAGGTCATTGTCTGCTCAGACTGTCACACAGAATACCACAGACTGGGTGGCTTAGACAACAGAAATGTGCTGTCCCCAGTTTTGGAGGCTGAAAGTTTTAGATCAGGGTGCTAGCAGGGTTGGCTTCTGGTGAGGCCTCTCTCCCTGGCTTGCAGAGGGACCCCGTCGTCTCTGTGTGTCCTCACATGGTGCTGCCTCTGAGGCCTTTGGGGTCGGGAAGAACAAGCTCCCGTGCTCTTCTTCTAAGGACACTTACGCTCTTGGATCAAGGTCTTACCCTCATGACTTCATTTAATCTTTTTTTTTTTTTTTTTTTTTGAGACAGGGTTTTGCTCTTGTTACCCAGGCTGAGTGCAGTGGCATGATCTCAGCTCACTGTAAACCTCTGCCTCCCAGGTTCAAGCGATTCTCCTGCCTCAGCCTCCCAAGTAGCTGGGATTACAGGCATGCATCACCACACTCTGCTAATTTTGTATTTTCGGTAGAGTCAGGGCTTCACCATGTTGGCCAGGCTGGTCTCAAACTCCTGACCCCAGCTGATCCGCCCACCTGAGCCTCCCAGAGTGCTGAGATTACAGGTGCGAGTCACCACACCCATCCACTTCATTTAATCTTGATTACCTCCTAAGCACAGTGTCTCCAAATATAGTCACATTGTGAGTAAGGGGTTCAACACATGAATAACAGGGAGACACGGTTCAGTTCATAGCAGTCACACAGCCAGGAATTGATGTGAAGCTCCCTGCCAGCTCGTCTCACCACCTCTTCATTTTACTTGGCCCAGAGAGCTGAGCTGGGAGTGGAGCTGCTGGGTGCAGGAAGTCCTGTCTTCCTGTAGGTATATGCGCTCTCTCTCTCTCTGTCTCTCTCTCTCTTCCCACCCCCTTACCCGCCCCCCGCACAGTAGCTCTCCATCCAAGTCACAGCCTCCTCTCCAAGGTATGAGGGTGGGTAGGAAGATCTTTCTTTCACTAAGCCCTCTGGGTCCTGAATGGAGCTGGGGGTAAGCCTGTCGCGACTGGAGTTAGTGCCCCCAAGACCATCCTGCACCCAGCACTGAAACTCAAGATGTTTCGGGAAAAGCACAAGAAGCCTGAGGCTGAGCCCTCAGGATGGGTTCCTTCACAGCCTTCTTGGAACCTAGTGCAGTTCTGGACCCTCCCTGAATGCTGCAGGCAGAACAAAATCACACAGGCACAATTCCCGGGCTCCCAGGACTTGGTACAAGTTGCCTATCCTTGTGGAAGGACGAAAACTCAGTCCACATCTGCAAACCACTCACTGGAGCAGCTGTATTTGAGCTTGTCAATTACTCATTATTAAAAGCTTTGTAGACCAAATTCAGTGGCTCATGCCTGTAATCCTAGCATTTTGGGAGGCCAAGGCAGGTGGATCACCTGAAGTCAGGAGTTCCAGACCAGCCTGGCCAATATGGCCAAACCCTGTCTCTACAAAAAATACGAAAAGTAGCCAGGTGTGGTGGTGGGTGCCTGTAGTCCCAACTGCTCGGGAGGCTGAGGTGGGAGGATCACTTGAGCCCAGGAGGCAGAGGGTACAGTGAGCTGAGAACACACCACTGCACTCCAGCCTGGGTGACAGGGGGAGACTCTGTCTCCAAAATAAATAAATAAATAAAAACTTTGTTGTAAAAATAAGTTATTCAGACTCTTGTGCAGGCTTCCACCAAGCCAAACAAACTAGGCACCCACCTGGAATGCTTCCTCTCTACAAATTACAGTATCTGTCATAGTGTTGGGAAAACGTTTTCTTCCCGCTCTCTCCTGCTTTAACGCTCATGCTCATGTTATGAAGGTAGACTTACAAAGGCGGGAGTTTTTTCCTAATTTTTCAAAAGTTCACAAGACTTAATAGACCACAGGATGTCATCCAGAAAATGACAGTGTGTCATTTTATCTTTTCAAACTGTCGAAAAAGGCAGCTAGTTAACAGAGAACCACTTAGCTCATGTTCGCTGATGTAGAAAGCTACCTTGCCACAGAAGTAATGCTGTGGCTGTCACTGGTGTGCCGAGCGTTTTCACGAGACACTTCCCCCTCATTTTCTGTCACTTCACCCTAGATTCACTGCCCACACTCCCTTCTCCATGGAGAGCTTCTGGTGCTCTGTCCATTGTCACTATAACCAGAATTGCTGGGTTACTGCTGACTCCTCCCCACTCATAAGCCCTAAGCTAGTTCAGATCAGAAAAGCAAAAATATTTTTCAAGTGAAATTCCACCTTGAGCATTTTGGAAAAGCAAACAGTTCATTTCAGTGAGTCATTTCTCTTCCCATTGGCAGGGTCGTCCAGAACAGTAGATTGTGCCGCCAGCTGCACCAGAGGCTATGGGGCTTCCCATTGGTGTCTTGCTGGCTTCGGTCTTGCTCATGATATCCATGGTTGACTTTTGCAGGTGTGAAAGCTGTGGGGCCGTTTTCCATTCTGAATGCAAAGAAAAGTCTGTCCCCTGCCCGAGGTGTGTTCGCCGAGAGCTGCAGAAGAAGCAGAAGTCTTTCTGGCAGAGACTGAACGTGGACGAGAGTCTAGAGGAGGCTTGCACCATGTTTGAGCTGTCCTACCAGAACACCTGACTCAGGCCGACACAAGGCCCGGGATTCACCGATCAACAATCCATCAGCCCCAGAGCGGCTTCCTAACTAGCCAGTTAGACCCCTTTGGAAGAAGAGTATGTCTCCTCTTCAGCTAGATACAGATATATATATTTATTTATATAAACACAAATACCTATACGTCCCATACTTATGCTCTGTGTACCTCATTGTCTAAAAGATCTGCAGAACGTCTGTGGCTCAAGAAACTGCCAATAGCTGGATTACACTTAGCCAAGAATTTCAGCTGCTTGCTCCCAGACAAAACGTGGTATACACAATGCTTTATAGTTCCGACTTTTCTTTTTCTGTCTCTCGGGACATTTTATTATCCGAGACGCAAGAAGCAGCATTTCCTGCAGAAAACGGCGCTTTAGGTTATTTTTGTGCTATTTATTTTTAGCCTCCACAGAGGTTGTGGTAACTGAGGCAAGCACCCATCATCATCTGTTTCATAAGAAAACCTTCAAAACACAAGAGACTCCTGGGTCCTTCCAGGACCTAGTGTCCCCGGCTCTCCCGCCTCAGTTCCTCCCATGGAGGCGGGAATCACCCAGGCAGAGCCGAATGGCTGAAACAGGAGCCAAGCTCCCTCTGACAGAAAGCATACACCCCTGATTTATGAGGAGAGCTGTTTCTGGTTTTGAAGTTAATCTCAGAAGTTTTTTTTCCTGAGAAAAGAAGAAACCTCTGCGACCAATAACTGCGTGTTGTCGGTCTGTTTCCTGGTACGAGTCCCAACACCCGCCTAACGACGTGACGCTCCACCGTGTTTTCCAGGCTGTCCACATGGCTTTCTTAAAAATGGTTTTCAGCGGGTGCCCATAGGTGATATTTATGATGTTCTTCATGATGCTGGCCGGAGGAAATGTCCTGGGATTGTTGTTAAACGCATCAGGGTATAGACTGGTAGATAAGGGTATGTGGTATGTTATATGGTAGTATATTCAAAGAGAGGGTCGTTTTCATTTCTTTTCTCAGAATCCTGCGTAGGCACTGCCTACCTATTCATTTTAAATGCTTTATGTCTCATTGTTCTTCCTGCACTTTCATTTCGACCTTTGTCAATGTAACCATTCTTGCTTTCTCATTTTTTTTTTTTGTTAAAAAATCAGAGTAGGCTGGGCGCAGTGGCCTGTAATCCCAGCACCTTGGGTGGCCTAGGTGGGTAGATCACCTGAAGTCAGGAGTTCTTGACTAGCCTGGCCAACATGGTGAAACCCCATCTCTACTAAAAATACAAAATAATATTAGCCAGGTGTGGTGGCAGGTGCCTGTAATCCCAGCTACTCAGGAGACAGGAGAATCACTTGAACCCAGGAGAGGGAGGTTGCAGTGAGCTGAGATCACACCATGCACTCTAGCCTGGGCAACAAGATTGAAACTCCATCTCAAAAAAAAATCAGAGTAATGTGGAACTTCAACTTTGGACTATTAAGAAAATACCAAACTTAACAAGTGTAATTAATGAATTAGATCTAATATTATTTAAATAAATATATATACATATATATATAATTGCTACCTTGAAGTGAAACAGAGTGCTAAAATAAATCATAGGAGTCAGAAAGAGAACTGCTTTGCTATTCGGCAGGTAGTGTTCCCCGCTGCAGTCCCCTTTGAAGAGCGTGTGGCAGTCACTGTGACCAAAACGGCAGGTAGGACAGCCATGGGACCCTGGCAGCTCCCATTCTTTCACCTTCACTCTCTCTAGAGCAGGAAAATACGTTTATAATAAAACAGTTCTCAGTAGACTTTATGAGAAGAGTCTATATCTTTCGCACTGAGGGATGCCTTCTATGCCTTTCATGGTTTAGTAGTTTTGCAGCTATTAGGATTAGTGGCGCACAAAATACTTGGTACATTCAACCGCATTGCTCCTTTCCCCACACTCCTCTCCCCTGAGAACCCAACTTACAATACTTCGTCCATCTAGAGATGTGACATTTCAGACTGACTTTGGTGCAGTTAGATGTAAGCATTTTCCCTCTCAACCGCGCCAGTTCCTTTGGCCCCAGACCACACATTTCACCTTAACAGCTCAGCACCATGCATGCATTTATTTTCTGACTATACAGTAGCCACAACCAAGGCTTGAAAACTTGTTAAAAGGCCAGGGCCCTATTCATGAGACGCCTCACGGTGCCTTTTACCCTTACAAAAGCAGGTTGACTTTTCCCCCACTCTACTTAAAGAGAATGTTGGACACAAAAGAAAAAGGGTGGAAAATCTCAGACACTTGGCAAACAGGCAAACAAATTTGATCATCTCCTTTCCTCCTCCCCTTGGTAAAATACAGTATTTATATTTTCCAGCCTCAGAGAAGATAGCAGAACATGATCTTTCACAAGAGAATTATAGACCTGCTTATTATAAAACAGATGTGCTCCCATGGCAAAGTGCCTTCTCCCTCCGCCCCCAGCTCCCTGTCACTGTAGCTTACTTTTGCCTTCACTGTAATTAATGTATCCGTGATTCCAACTGTCAGCCAGGCCATTCCCAGCACACTGCTTTTGGAGACCTGAAGTGCGGGGCCATCTCCTCCCCTTCTAACATGTTTGTCCTACGAACAGAATTTCCTCTCCCAACTCACAGGCACCCAGGGTCTACCTGCTGAGAGTCAAGGGTGAAATTCTGGATCCCTGATCCAAACATCTTTTTTTTCACCATATTTAGAGGGCCCTGCTAAATAAAAGCAGTCCCTGTGAACTCCTAAGGAAGACTTTCCACCCACATCATTTTCTGCTTATTTTCAAAAGGAAAACAAAAATCAATGTGTTATCACCATCAGCTACCCAGAGCTGGATCCATGGCCAGCTGCTTCGGATTCCTCTCCGTTTCGTAAAACCCTGACAGCTTGGTCGGTGCCGGCCGCAGGCCTATGACATTCTCTGCCACCACCACCAAAATCTGATGAGTCAGAGTGGAGCCAGCTTGGGAGTTGGGTCTGCCATGAAAATTCAGAATTGCTGTTTTCAGCCCAGAGTGTCTTGGTACACATGAACGCCCCTTCTGTTTTCAACTCTTAACAAATTACTTGGTGCACTCTTAGGTAATGGTTCCACTGCTTAGAAACTGTCGAAACAAAAGCAAATCTGTGGATTACCACCTCTTTCAGACCAAACTAATACCTGCTTTTCCTCGTGTTCCATTTTTCATCCCATCTTAAATATCTTGCACATAAAACATATGAAAAAAATGGCCAATTAATCTCCTGGAGCTGGCAACTGACTCCGGGGAACAGCTTTTTGCTGAAAGGCCCATTCCCTGGTGTATCACTTGAGGAAATCCCTCCTAAAAGTGCCAGAAACTCATGTGTGAGATCGTCCAACCCTGGTGAAATGTTGGCATCTAACCCCGCAGTAAAGCAGCCAGTTCCGAAAATAGACCTCATTTTGCACCACTGCAGGAAGGCCGCAAAGTACTTAAAAAGCAGTCAACTGGAATGGGAGTAGTGTTCTTTCCAGGGCCGCTTTTTCCAAAGCTAAAAGCCTCTTTATATGAAAACCATGTAAACTCTGAGCGGCCCCCTTTGCCTCCCTGCCTTTTGTAGGGACTACATCATAGTCATTTGAACGTCTGTAGTGCTAAAGGGTCATCTAGTTAGGAGCTTTAACATTGCATTCGCTGAGAGGGTCATCACTTTTTGATTCTTCTAGAGTAGTCCTCCACCAAGAAGGGAATACGTCTAATACTTGGGATCTGTGGTTTGCAACACAGTGGTATCCCTCAGACTCCTGAAAAGGGACTGTGCCGTGACTTACTTCCAGTTGCAGTGAGATCCGAGGTGTTTACATCACCCTAGGTGCCGAATGCAGCCTTTGCTAAGCTAGAGTACGTCCTTTGATGGAGGCTGGCCTCTGTTTTTGTCTCTGTGTGTCTGTCGTGTGTACACACTGAACATGGACTATTTTCTGTGCCTCCTCAAAGAGGCTTGGCTTCCAAACCTGGAAGTTTGTTCTCTACCCATTGGCCAAAAAGGCCGTCCATAAATTCATATATCCAGGTGGGACTAGCACGATGCCAGGCACACTGAACACTTTCTGCAGAGGGGCTTGATCAGAGGAAGTAAGCTCCTCCTGTAGCGTCAAGCCAATGCTGTCGCTCATGTTTTTGTGCAGAATTATTCATCTCCATTGATCTGACACACTCTCTTGAAATCACTAGATTATGAAGCAAATGTTCACCTCCTGATTCCAGTACTTCCTGGTTTCAACACAAGGTTATTTTATTTTTTTACTCTCCCTAGTAAATAGAGATGTGTATAATTTTTGCCCATTTGATTTCTTGAGTTTTCTGCCCCGCTTCTTTTCTTACTCTGAAATAACATGAAAATACGGAGACACTGGAGCAACACTGAGAGCCCCTCCCTCCTGGATGAACTGAATCTATAGCTGCACTCTCCAGTCTCCCTTGCCTCCGAGTCACTTGTTAGGATGGGCATTAGGCGCTTCATATGTTGCACACCCCGTGTGACTCTTCCGACCCTGAGTCAAGTAGAACTAACTGCTCAAGGTCGAATCCAGTGACCGGTGAATAAGCTCTACTCAGTTAATGTAAATAGACCAGTGTTGATTTCTACCATGTGGAATGGTGTTTCGACAATTAAATTTAGCACCCAGCAGTCTCCTTATTGGTAAACGATTCTGATTTCATTGGGCTCAAAAATCTCTGACTCAAGGGTCTTTCCTTAGTGTATTTTAATGGGTGCATGGCTGAGGTAAAATCCAATTCATTGTTAAACTCTAGGTAAAATGGTATGGGATACCCTCTTAAGCATGCCAGTGGTTGTCAGTTTTATTTAAAGTAGGTTCCAGTCGGCCAGGCTTTGGTGGCTCATGCCTGTAATCCCAGCACTTTGGGAGACTGAGAAGGGCAGATCACTTGAGGTCAGGAGTTTGAGACCAGCCTGACAAACATGGCAAAAACACAGAAATTAGGCCGACTGTGGTGCCTCACACATGTAATCTCAGCACTTTGGGAGGCCAAGGTAGGTGGATCACTTGAAGTCAGGAGTTTGAGACCAGCCTGGCCAACATGGTGAAACCCCATCTCTACTAAAAATATAAAAATTAGCCAGGTGTTGTGGTGCATGCCTGTAATCCCAGCTACTTGGGAGACTGAGGCAGGAGAATCACTTGAACCCAGGAGGTGGAGTTTTCAGTGAGCCGAGATCGCACCACTGCACTCCAGCCTGAGCAACAGAGCAAGACTCCTTCTCAGGAAAAAAAAAAATGTAGGTTCCAAATGATCATGTTATGTGACTTTGTCCTGGTAAAGGGCTGCTGATGTGATGGAAGTCATTGCTAGACTCAATTGAGACAACTGCTATTTTGCTTTGGATTCTCCTTGTGAAAAGAGAAGCCACTAGCCGCTCGTCTTGTTAGAAAGTTCTTGAATGAAGCCAGTTGTTGCCCTGGGTAGAAGATTCAGGCACTTACAGCAACTCATAGCAACTTCTAACTCTTAGGAGAGCTCCCTCCTATTGGCTGTGAAGCTGCAAACCAGCCTCTTTCTTTTCCCCGAATCTCCCTTGCCCCTAGTTCTGAGCCCAGCCCAGAGGCTCAGCTAATAAACCAGCTAGTGGACAACTGGGGCCTGTGGCTCCTTCTCCATGTTGGCCTTCCCTTGTGTCTCTTGTCCCTGTAGGAGTGCCTTATAGTCCTGTCTCCTGCTTCTAGTCTAGTCTATCTGAACCACCTGAAGCCTGCAGGACCTTTCAACTAAATCTGCATCCCTCTGCTTCTTCCCTGCTGGCTACTCTTCATATAGATGCGCTTGGAGCCTGTGCATTCCATGACGCATGTCGGACTTTTCACCTTGTTCAACCCGGTGTGCCTTAACCTCAGGAGTAAAAGGAATCAGGTTGGAGACACGTGGTTAAAGTAGAATGGTGCAAACATTGGCTTCTTAGTGCCATTAGCAGTTTTACCAGGAAATGCAAAAGATGCAACCACATAGTGTTTTCCCTTTGTTTTATGCTGCTCTTAAATCCCTCTTCTTGTTTGTTAGCTTTCATTAACCAAACTCAGGGGAATGTCACGATGTCACCAAGGCCAATGGGTAGAGAAATAAAATCCAGCCATCCAGAATTGAATCTGTAAAGTCAGTGAACTTAGCCTTTTTAGGTTCAAAATTACACAAACACAAGGATTTTCTTACCCTTCACCTTTCAAAAGTTTTCTTTTTATTTTGCCACCTGTTTTCCAAATAAGAAGTGGGAAGCCTTTTAGATAAATTGTGATAAAAATGTCTCTTTGTGTGATGTGCACAGTCCACTGAGCTATCAAATTAGGCTTTGGCTGCTGGAGGCCTAGGTTCTAGCTTTGACCACCTATCAGAATCTTACTGTTACACTGGGCACGGTGGCATGTGCCTACAGTCCCAACTATTTGGGAGGCTGAGGTGGGCAGATTGCTTAAGCCCAAGAGCCTAGGCAATATGGTGAAACCCATCTCAAAAAACAAAGAAAAAAAGAAGTTGAGTCTTACTGTGAATAGCTTCTAGCCTACCCTAGAAAATATATATTTTAAATCTGTTTCTTAGGAATAGTAGCTAAAAGAAGGAATCATCACAGGAGGGAAAGTAGCTGGCCAAGTAGCTCACGCCTGTAATCCCAGCACTTTGGGAGGCCAAGATGGGAGGATCACTGGAGCCCAAAGGTTCAAGGGGCCAGTCTGGACAAGATGGCAAGATCCCCATCTCTTAAAAAAATAATATTTTTTTTTTACGGAGAGAAAATGCTTAGGCTGCAAATGGAGAGTATGGAACATGGTGATGTAAAAAACTTCTGCACAACTTGTTCTCTAGCTCCTGGGTCAGATCTATGCCATTTTTTCTTATTTCTGCTCACACACGACAGAAATGTCTAAAATTTTGGGTCTGGGCTGTTATGTCACTTGCGTTAAGTTATTTGTAGTATCTACTGTGCTAACTTATATATGTGTTCTTTCTGTTTTGGGGATTTTATTACCTTTTGTTTCGGCATAACTTATCTCTATTTTTGTTTACATTATTTTAAAAATATCAGTAACTGTAATAATATAAAATTGAAATTGTATTGTTGACAATACCTCTAGTTTTTAAGGCCATCTGTCACATAATTTAAGTGCACCAGTTCCTAATGTATAAAGTTCTCTCTCTCAATAAACAATGCAGAAAGTACTTTCCTTTCTCATAATGACTCCATTAAAATACTGTTCTTGAGGGGCTGGTGAAAGCCTAAAATGAGCTCTATGTATTAATTCAAAGTCAAGATTTGAGCTTTACTGAAAATGAGCCATAGCTGGGCGCGGTGGCTCACGCCTATAATCCCAGCACTTTGGGAGGCCGAGGCAGGCACATCATGAGGGCAAGAGATCAAGACTATTCTGGCTAACATTGGCGAAACCCAGTCTCTGCTAAAAGTACAAAAATTAGCTGGGAGTGGTGGTGGGCACCTGTAATTCCAGCTACTTGCAGGATGCTGAGGCAGGGAGAATTGCTTGAACCTGGGAGGCGAAAGCTGCGGTGAGCCAAGATTGTACCACTGCACTCCAGCCTGGTGACAGAGCAAGACTCCATCTCAAAAAAAAAAAGAGGAAAAAAAATGAGCCACTAGGATTTTAAATTATCTCTTAATATCTTACAGATAAACTTTTTAAAAAAATCATCAACCTACAATATTCTCATCAGCCCTTCCCATGCTTATGAAAAATGTAGTATAACTTTTAAAAAGATGCAGATGTCATGTCATGGGCCTTATTTGCTGAATCTAAGCATGATTATTTTCAGTTCCAAGACAAAGCTGCCAAAGTTCATGCATGGATGTTCTCCCACCAAAGCTTCTCCCCAAGCCTTCCAGCCCTGGTTCCATTTCACCGTTCACATACTCTCCAAATTAGATGGCCAAGTGCCAGGTGGCCAGCTAGGCAAAAGAGCCAGTCCTTCCTTCAGGGACCATATTTTGGGAGCAAAAAGGAGCAAGGAGTGGAGAGTAAAGAGAAACTGTTCCTCCTCGAGACAGCAGCTCTCTGGGAGTTAAGAAATGATCGGAAATATCTGTACGGCCCCATGCCTGGCTGGCCCTCACACACTCAAAAGGCCAAGGTGCAACAACTATCCACTTGGAACCTTTAGAAGGTTCCACTTAAACTCACTTTCCCAAAGGAAGTCATCGAAAAGAGACTAGAAAAGGTGCTTCTGGTAAAACATTTACCAAGATGAACCCTGAGCCTTACACCCTAAGACACACCTAAACAAGTTTATGCCCAGCTCCTCCCACTCCACCCTCAGGAAATCAGCCTGGGTTCACACCCACTCTGTCCAAGAGGTAACTGGACTTCATCCTCACACAAAACCTGCCACAGTCCACGATGAAGAGAAACGGGTTAATGTTTCACTGAACCAAACTAGACATACGATGTAGTCAGAGCCTGGATTCATAATCAGATGAATCACACAGGACAGGTTAGCTTTCCCCCAGTTGCAGGAAACTGGTGAGGCTGGATAACTCCAGGAAGTTTTGACATCAAAGAGAAGATAGGCAAAAATGTCAGAACCTTGGAAAGAGACACTGTTTCGTTCATCTCTTATCCTCAGGAGACGAGGATAAGAGATGATTGAATCTCCCTTAATTGTTTCCTATGTCCTGTCCTTTGATGATGGCTCAAGATGATGGTTTAAATCCGTGGTTCCTGCATTTGAAACACAAAAATGAAAGCAAAATCTCAGGGCCTCATCACAGACAATTGACTCAGAATCTCTCCGGATGGCGCTTGAGTATTCGTATTTTTTTAAAGCTCCCTAGGTGACCCAATGCTTTCTGGAAGTAAAGAACCACTAGTTTAAATGAAGCAGGTTGCCTTGAAATAAACATTTGCTTGCCATATTGATAGTCCACAGTGAGAACAGTGGCAAGAGGAATTGGAGGGATGAACGGCCATAGCTGCCCTGAAGTTAACATCTGTTGCTTGCTTCTCTTCTTCCCAAAAGACACAGAACATCATTTTAGAACTTGCTCCTCATGGATTGTAATTGTTTTCATATAAATAATACCTTTACACCCCCTCTATTTTCTTCCAGGGTGTGATTAGCATATATTTATCAGTGTATCTCATTGCCAGAGAGCATTAGTGAATACAAGTTTCCAGGTCACAGCTGCTGGCATAAGCTGGTCAAAAAGGAAGCTCTGTGTACTCCCATTCATTTTTCCATTCCTCCCAGTTATCCTGTGATTGGTCCTCAAATGCATGTGAGAGTCCACTCCCAGTTCAGGCCCATCCAATGAATGCAAACCTCACCACTCTGGATGGTGTTTTTTTTTTTTTTTTTTTCCCAAGTCTCAGGTCAGTGGCCTAGTTTTTTTTAAATAGAAAATCACACTGGGCGCGGTGGCTTGTGCCTGTAATCCTCGCACTTTGGAAGGCCAAGGTAGGTGGATGACCTGAGGTCAGGAGTTCAAGACCAGCCTAGCCAACATGGTGATACCCATCTCTACAAAAAATACAAAAATTACCCAGCTGTGGTGATGCATGCCTGTAATCCCAGCTACTTGGGAGGCTGAGGCAGGAGAATAGCTTGAACCCAGGAAGCGGAGGCTGCAGTGAGCCAAGATCGTGCCATTGCACTCCATCCTGGGCAACAAGAGCAAAACTCCATCTCAAAAAAATTAATTTGTTAAATAAAACAAAATAGAAAATTACTAGGTGCTTCTCGCCCAGAAAGGCCTAGGAAATTCAGGAAATCTTGAGCTAAGTCCAGATTCAGCTTGCTTCCATAGAAGAACTAAGCTTTTTTTCTTTTTTTTGAGCTCTGTCACCCATACTGGAGTGCAATGGCATGATCTCAGCTTACTACAACCTCTGCCTCTGGGGTTCAAGCAGTTCTCCTGCCTCAGCCTCCCAAGTAGCTGGGATTACAGGCACCTGCCAATACACCCAGATAATTTTTTTATTTTTAGTAGAGACGGGGTTTCACCATCTTGGCCAGGCTGGTCTTGAATTCCTGACCTCGTGATCCACTCGCCTCGGCCTCCCAAAGTGCTGGGATTACAGGTGTGAGCCACCACACCCGGCACGTTTATTATATTATTATACTGGATTCTGATTGGGATAGAAGATTCCTCCCCCAGGATAACAAAGGTCCCTGGTACACAATACTTACGAACACACCTCAGAGAAAGATATAGTTTATGCTCCCTCATTTGCATCTATTCTCTCGTAGCTTGGGCAGAGAAGTCTAGCAGGAAGAACAAATTTTTCCCATAGCTGAGCATACAGAGATTCTGATTTATGTGCACTGACATCCAATTTACCTGGACAATGGGAAATTCATTATTTCTCCACCTTTATTTCATATCCCTCCATTAAGGGCTATTGATTTTAAGCAAATTAGCCAGAGTTCATGAGATCATACAATATTTCAGATCCTGCCATACAACCTCAGGCAGCTGTTGGTCTGGGGGAAATTCCTCCAGCTTTTGTCCAGGCTCTCCCAATATGGTCTGTTGTTCGGAGGCTGAAGAGCTGCTATTAGCACAGTAATTTTTCCAAATGAACATTGAGCTAAATTATCTCAAATGTATAAAGGAACATCTCTCACTGTGTTATGGAAAATTGCCTCCCAAATTACGAGGCTATACAAAGCACATATTAGTTCTAGGCCCAAGGAGATCCAAATTGCCTTAGATTCTGTGCTGTATTGTGATAATACATTCCTAATAATGTCAGGCTCTGAGGATACTGCAAGGTGCACGTTGTTATGAAAATAAACCAGGCTTTTTCTCCATTAGGAGCACCTCACGCACACCCAAGCCCAGCCACAGATATTTTTCTCTGAGATTCAAGCCTTTTGCAGAGGAAATAAATTCCAATTGCATAGACGGGGAGTGAATTTGAATTCTAAACTGGGTCAACTGTCCCAAACGGCTTTCTCACTGTTGCCCATGAGTGAGGCAACCTAGGAAGCAGCTGTGGGCAGATGTCTCAGGGAATAGCTCCTGCTCACGTGTGTTTAATTCCGCGACAAGGTGAGGGGGAAATCAGAGGCCAGATGCCGGCTGACAGACTGTGCCAAATGCCAGTGCTGTGGTCAGTGTGTGGACAAACCCCAGAAACTAGTGCTACCAAAGTTGCCCCAAACCAGGCCCCCAGGCACCTAAGCAGCCCAGATGCAGCCCACACAGTGTTTGCAATGGATATTTTCAAAAATAAGGTTTATTCAGTTTTTCACATTGTTTTATCTACTCTTGTTTTTTTTTTTTTCTACTTCTCTGAGGAAATATTACAAAGCAAATCCCAGGTATCCCCACATCCCTCAGTATCCATCTAAAAGATATGTTTTCCACAATGCCATTACACATCTAACGAATGAACATAATTTCTTGCTATCATCTCGGTTCCAAATCAAAGTTATCTCATTGCATCAAAAATTGTCCTTTCTAGGCCAGTGCGGTGGCTCACGCCTGTAATCCCAGCACTTTGGGAGGCTGAGGCAGGTGGATCACCTGAGGTCAGGAGTTCAAGACCAGCCTGGCCAACATGGAGAAACCCCATCCCTACTAAAAACACAAAAATTAGCCAGACATGGTGGTGCACAGCTCTAATCCCAGCTACTTGGGAGACTGAGGCAGGAGAATCGCTTGAACCCAGGAAGGGGAGGCTGCAGTGAGCTGAGATTGTGCCACTGTACTCCAGCCTGGGTGACAGAGTAAGACTCTGTCTCAAAATACAATAAATAAATAAATAAATGTAAGAAATTAGTACTCCTGAAGGCGTGATAAAATGTAAAACGCTGTGGGGCCTCCCCAGCACCCTGCCCCCTTCTTGAAGGTAATGGCACCCCACTTTTCCCTCGGAAGACAGTAGCCATCCCACCCTTATTCCATGTAGTCCTCGTGGCCTGTCAGCAAAGTCCCCTGCCTTCAGGGTGGGACCCATGGCTCAAGCTTGGCCAGCAGGAATTTGAATCTTGAGAGAGCTAAACACGTGCATTGATTACAGCCTCTGAAGAGGTTGTCTGTTGGTTTCTGCTCCCTTGAAACTGGCTGAATTCTCTTCTGAAGACTTGATTTTTTTGTTGTTTTTCCTTCAGTTGTATCAACTGTGCAACAAATAGTTCTCTCCTTAAGTTAGCCAGACATGGTTTCTGACCCAATGGCTTTCCGGCACAATTTCTCACTACGA